GAAGATTCTTGACAACTTTGATCGGGTGTACCATCTTTGTCAGTCTGTCTGTTATGACCAATAGGAAGTCGTTTCCATTCTTGCTTGAAGTCGACAGTGGTCCGGTAAAGTCCATAGCGATGGATTGCCAGGGGAGTAATGGGATTTCCATTGGCTGAAGGAGTCCTTGAGGAGGCCTTTGGCTTGAGGACTTGGAAACCTGGCACGTTGGGCATTTCTTGGTCCAGTCCTCAACGTTGCTTGTGTGTCTCCTCGTCCGGGGAGAATACCAGAATGTCATCCAAGTAGACGATGACGCAAGTGTCCTGTAAGGATTGCGGCTTATCCGATACCAATCTCTTACTACATCTCCGACTCTTGCCACACAAGGCAGTCACTTACAGAACCCACAGCCGATTGGGCAAACATTCATCATCGATGGATTAGATTACAACATTTTATTAGTATAAAAACCATAGGAAATTAGCAACAGAAAATCAATCTTTTTCCCCAGAAAACCAAGTTCCACTCTCTTACATCCAGGAGGTCACGGAAGATGTCGTTCATTAGTGTTTGAAAGGTCGCTGGGGCATTCGTAAGTCCAAAGGGCATCACTTTAAATTCATAGTGGCCATAGCGGGTGCGGAATGCTGTTTTATAGCAGTCCTCTGCTGCAACTCTGATCTGATGGTATCCCGACTTCAGATCCAGCTTGCTGAAGACGCGTGCATTGTAGCTCCTATCCAAGAGTTCATCGATGAGGGCAGCGCGTATCGGTTCTTTATCGTCTGATCGTTGAGTGCGCGGTAATCGATGCACATGCGCAATGATCCGTCCTTTTTCTTGCAAATGTACCGGTGCTCCGTAAGGTGACGTAGATGGTGCAATCTTACCGCCTTGGCTGAGTTCTTCCAGTTGTTTATAATCTTAGGAGTTCCTTACAGCGACAGTCTGTAAATGTTCCGATGCACCGGCTGTGCTCCTGGGACAAGGGGGATCCGATGGTCGACCGAGCGTTTGGGTGGGAGTCCTGAGGGGACAAAGACATCCGGGAACTTGTTGTGATCCGTTGGCTTGTTTCGTCGGGTTCCGTGTTTATTTTTTCGAAGTCGGTCAATCACGGTTTCTAAGTGTTGCGCTCAGGATAAGGTCCGTTGATTGTATCAGTGTCTTGCTCATGTTTTACACGACATCGATGGGTCCGATGATGAGAGGCGCCACTGTTTCCGATCCTAGGGTGAAGGGCACGTAAGATCCGTTGATGAGTGCTGATCCAGAGTGACCTTGAGTTCGCGCCAAAAGGGATTCCGAGGATGGCGTCGAAGCCGCCAAGAGTTGGCAGCACAAAGATGATTTGCTTAGGGTGTGTTTCCGATGTTGATTTGAAGTTCTTCAGTTTGCTCCATGATGTTAATTGTTCCTTGGTGTCTGTGGCGAGTTGCACAACGCGGGGCTTGATTTCCCGGGTTGGTAGAAGCAAGCGCTGCGCAACTTCTTTGGAGATCATATACGACGAGCATCCTGTGTCCAATAGTGCTCGGCAAGGGTGTCCTTCGATTTCGCATTTCACACAGGGTGTGGCTTCTACTGGTGGTGCTTAGGTCCATAGGCGTCCGCTGAATAGCATAGGTTCCCGTTTCCGCCCTCCGCCAATCCGGCATAGTCTCCCAACCTCATTTTATGCTACTGCTGCCGGCAATGCCCGTCTCCTGGGTATCGTCGTTGTTGTTGTTGTCGCTTAGAATTGAAGCGAGTTAATGTTGGTTGTTCTAGGGTTGGCCTAGAACTGTTGCTGTTGAAGCTGTTGTTGTTGTTGTTGTTGTTGAAATATTTAGGGCAGAATCGGGCAATGTGCCCGATTGCCGGCAGCGGTAGCATCTTCCTTCGTTGTACATCCTAAGGCGATCCTCGGCGGTAAGAGGTTTGAGGCGGAGGGCGTCGACCTGCATTGGGTCATCTGTTGCGACTGGGGCGTTGGCGGGATTCCAAGAGTTGTATGCATTGTTGTATCCGTTGTATCCATTGCTGTATCCGGGGTAGCGTTTCCAAGACTGCTTCTCGCTTCGCCGTCGAGATACTCTGCGATTTTGATTGCTTCTTCGAAACTTGTTGGGTTTCGAAGGTAGAGTTCTCTTCTGATGCGTGGCTTGGTTCCGCGCATGAATTGGTCCATGAGTTGTTCTGAGGAGAGATCCAGAAGCAGCTGAAGACGGCGAAGTTCGAAAACAAAGGCTTGAACGGTGGTCGACTGATGGCAGTCGTGGAAAGCATCGCGAAGCTTTCGAGTCGAGTCCATCGGGGTGAAAAAGGGCCCCGAGGCACTCGTAAATCCTCCCACGAAAATTATTCAGCGCTGGATCATCTTTTCGACCAACCCAGACGAGGACCCGGTACAGGGTACGTTCGATAAGTAAGGCCTATTTTAGGAAGAATAAAACCGATTTTTGTCCCTTCTTTCCCAACCTGTGTTAATTTGTTTGATTTTTTTTTTGTTTTGTTATGTTTTGTGTCTGATTGTGTTTCTTCATTTCACTTTATGTCAAAGGAATATTGTTTCTTTTTTTCCTTTTTTTTTATTCATCTCCCCAGATACCCATTGTTTTATTTATTGTCCTCTTATTTTTTTTTATTTTAATGTCAATTGCTCTGGGGGCTCTCCCTTACAAATTTTTC